TGCAAAAGAAAAACTAATTTAAGGCCGCACAGGTGATTTACAAGAACATACTAATGGCACAAGTGATAAAATAAAGGTAGTATACAGGGTGGCCCACCACTCACTGACAACTTAAATAACTTTTGATCCAGTTAATATTTTTAGTTGATTTTTTTTTTAAATAATAGTTATACGTTAGGTCTATAGCTATATCTCAATAATTCATTTTTTTACATTTTATTAAAAATATTAATTATTTTTAAATTTTAAATATTCTGTAGCGTTTTGAAGTTTGTAAAAATTTGAATTTTCATGTACTATTTTACGGTATTAAACATTGAAATACGTATTGAGAAAAGGACAGAAGAAAACGCTATCTTTTCATGATTACTGTGTATACATATGATGATAATGTGTATACATTACAAACTTGGTATTAATACCATGATAAGAAATTAGATAAGGCAATTATTACTTATCACTCTCATTCAAAAGTATATTGAAAAGATAGCGTTTTCTTTGACATTTGTCAAATACATACAGTTATAACTTTATTTGACCTTTTAAGATTTATATCATGAAAGTTATTATCCAACATTGAGATTACTAGAACAAGACCAATTTTAGACACTTTATGACAATTAATTTTAACATTATCAGAAATTCTTGCTGTGTTGACAAAAGAAAACATGAGATATATGAAATGAGGAGATCAGTGACAATAGACGAGAGTGTGAATGGGGGGTAGAAAGTTTTAAGTATTTAGGATCAGTAGTGCAAAAGAGCGGTAGTATTGACAAGAATGTAAGACACAGGATTAAGTGCGGGTAGTTGAAGTAAAGAGAAGTGTCTACTGTCTTATGCCATAAAAGAATTCCAATGAGGCTAAAAGGTAAATTCTACAACAATGTAGTGAGACCAGCTATGATGTATGGTTCAGAGTGTTGGGCGGTTGACAAGAAAATAGAGCAGAGAATAAGTGTAGCAGAGATGAAAATGCTTAAATGGATGAGTGGAGTGACTAGAGAAGATAGAATTAGGAACGAGCATATAAGAGGGAGTATAAGTGTAGCGTCAATCGTGGATAAGATGAGAGAAAATAGACTTAGAGAATTTAGATATGATGTTATGAGGAGAGAAGAATCGGAAGCTGTAAGAACAGTTATAGAAATGAATGTTAGTAGGGTAATATAGGGGATTCTAGGCCCTCTCCGCTTCACCCAACCACCCTACCACCGTGTCATTGGGAAGAGGGGTGGAGGGGAGTAAATCAACGTAAACTAACCTAAGAAGAACCTCCTCCTCCAAGTCTTATGAGAGAGGGGTAATGAAACTTAAGGTAAACAAACCTATAGGAGGAGGGGGGATGAAACACGACGTAAACTAACACAACCTGTCACGCGTGTAAATTATGCTCGGTCATAAATACATAATATCGGTTTTTTGGGAAAAAAAAAAAAAATGCATTTTCCAGGTAAGCTATACGGTTAAGGTGAAAAGTACGAATTTTAAACGTCGAATCCGCTATTTTGATATGCGACATGCACACATTTAGATAAAGTCCATACGTAAAATGTTAATTTTACCTAATTTGTAAAAAAAAATTAGTTCGAAACATTGTGTGCCAGATGGCTGTATTGATGATTACACTATAGCACTTGAGATTAATACACCAGATGGCCCAACGCGGCGGCGACGGCGTCGGCGATGTCGCCGTCAATTAGATTAATTGTTATTATACGAGTTAATAAGCTTGACCGTTATTCGTATAGTGAATAATAAATCAATATTTTTTTTTTGTAGACAATATATACTAATGGCGACTTTTCAAGTTTTCTTATAGCAAAACACATTCTTAAATAAACACTACCGCCGCCGCCGCCGACGACGACGACGTAATCACTGGAACATATATATTATAATGTTTATAATATTATTATAATCTGTATTATACTTATCGATTAATGTCGTACATATATATTTTGTCTGAATTATTACTGGTATCCCCCCCATTGTTATAAATTATTACCGTATTTAACAACTGTAATAAATTATTTTTAATAAAATAATAGCTTCGACTGGAAGGATTGCATTCTTCATCCGTCAACGCATTAGAGACGGCAGACGGTCATAATTTTTACAAAGGCATCTGTTTTAAATCCTAATGACATATATGTGTAAACATTTCACTTTAAGACTGAATGTTTTCACGCCATTACAAATGACAAATTTACAAATTTATCAATTAATTGTCTTGGGTGACGTTTATAAAAATGTAACAAGTGCTGTATAACATGTAGAAACCTGAATATTTTTTCTCAGACCACTTGATATACTTTGGTCATTATGCTCGCGATATACGATGTACTTGTGCGATTAATGACCGCGCACCACCATCACTGATGCAGCGGATAATACAGTAACAATCCGTATTTATAAAGACATCAATAATGATTATATTCACTCTTTGACTAAGCGTTATTAGCGGCTCGCTAATATATTGCTTAAAAATATTCAGTTAAACGTATACAAGTACTGGAATTTATTTATTTTTTTTTTTTATTTAAATTTAAAATTGAATAACAATGGCTGATGTACATTTTACTGGTGCTGCTCAAGGTAAGTTTTTTTGTTTGTATATTTCGATATTTTCGACGCACAAATTGTTTTTACACATTTTTTCACAGTCACCTCTTCCACGACTGTTCCAAACCACCATTCGGTTAAACGTAGGGCTAACAACAGTAGGGTAAAATCCAAAAGGTTGCGTATACAATTGCCGGACGCGAAAAATTTCATCGAGATTGATTCCGCATTGAAGCGAGGAGCCGTTTGGTTTTATAGGAAAAACGTGGAAAATTTCGCGAGCTATCGAGATTTTCTGCGCGCCGTTAAACCCGAGCTGGTTGCCAAACTCGGTGAAATCACAGCTGTTCAGCCTATTAAATATAATCTCAAATTGGAGGCCTCTTACCATATACCACGATCAGAAGCACCGCCCGAGGACCGTGCCTTCAAGACACGGGCTAGGGCGTTGTTGTCCGACACGGATATTGTAGGTGCGGTCAATGACGATTTCGAGATTATGCTCGCTGAGGAAGATGTGTACTCGGGTAGGGGTAGCGGATTCACGCTAGCGCATATCGACGGTCTCATGCTCAGTGTGTACAAGTATACGCCCCTCACCGGCTCATCATATATTCCGATCCCACCTGAAATTTTACATAGAAAGGCAATCATCAATCCGCAAAACATCGATCAGTCCTGTTTCAAGTGGGCCATTTTGGCCCGACACGTTGGGGTTAATAATAATACGCGTGTTAATCAAAAATATTTTAACGAGGAACACAGGTATGATTTCACGGGGTTGACGTTCCCCACACCTGTGTCCCAAATTAAAATATTTGAGCGACGAAACCCTAACGTGTCTGTCAACGTGTACGGCTTGGAACGAGACGACGTTAAGATGAAGTGGTTGGTGTATCCTCTAAGAGTCGCCGACCATGAGCAACAGAATCATTTTGACCTGTTGTACATCGGTGACTCTAACAAGTATCATTACGCGTACATTTCCGATTTTTCGAGGCTTGTGTGCAGTCAAAAAACTAAACACAAATGTCGCATATACACTTGCAGACGTTGCTTCACGAGCTTTGATGATCAGCCTAAAAAGCATATTCTTCGGGGTCATCAAGCTTTGGATCAACACAAGTTGATATGCGGCAAGAACAAGCCTATTTTACCCGTTATGCCGGCGGAGGGCAGTAAGGTCGAATTTGACGCGTGGGTAAAGACTCAACGGTTACCGTTTGTCATCTACGCCGATGTTGAGGCCTTGCTGGAGCAAATAGACGATCGTATGGGTGCATACACCAGGACTTTGCACACACACCATCCCATGAGCTATGGGTTCATGGTGAAAACATCGAATGATATGCCATCCGAGCTCCTCGAACGCTACGGTATACCACAATCATCGGTGATATACCGTGGGTCTGAAGATCGCAAAGAGGTAGCCAAGACATTCGTAATGGCTGTAACGGAAGTGACACGCAAAATTTCCAAATTATTGCGTAAATCTAACGTCCCCATCCGAATGTCTGTCGATAATGTGCGCAGGCATGGGTAGAAAGTGGTATGCGACTTGTGCCGTACTGCATTCAAGGGTTTCCAAACCCAAAAGTAGAAGACCACTGCCATCTATCGGACAGATTCAGACAGACGTTATGCAATGCTTGTAACCTGAAAATGAAGACGGTCAATTTTGTGCCGTGCTTCTTGCACAATCTTTCGGGTTACGACGCGCATTTCATCGTCACTGAATTGGGGTACGACGACCATAGGATTTCGGTTATACCGAATTCCGAGGAGATGTATATTTCGGTCACGAAACACGTGACCAATAACTTCTCCATACGGTTTGTCGACACCTTCCGGTTCATGGCCTCCTCCCTGTCCACCTTGGCCGGTAACCTAATGACGCCCGACTTCGTTAAATTCCGGGAGACGGCCAAGGTGTTCCGCTCGGAAGACATGACGTTGGTAATGCGTAAGGGCGTATACCCTTACGAGTACACTGATAGTTGGGCTAAATTGGACGAAACGGTACTACCATCCCGCGACGCTTTCTATAGTCAGTTGAATGAGTCGAATATCGATGATGACGACTATAGACACGCCACAGAGGTGTGGAATCGTTTCAGTTGCTCAACCCTCGGTGAGTACATTGACCTATACCTAAAGATTGACGTGCTGTTGTTGGCCGACGTGTTTGAGAACTTCCGCGACATCTGTATTTCAACATACAATTTAGACCCGGCGCACTACTACACCGCGCCTGGTTTTAGCTTCAATTGTATGTTGAAATACACCAGGATGAAGCTGGAGCTCTTGAACGACTACGACATGTTACTGATGGTGGAACAGGGCATTCGTGGTGGGCTGGTGCAGGCCGTCAAGCACTATGCCAAGGCCAACAATCCAAAGACACCTGGCTACGATCCGACAAAACCAGACTCGTGTATCAAGATTGTAAGTATTAAAAGTACAATAATTTAGCTGTGAATTAAAAACGTATAATGTATATAGGCAATAACCTTTACGGGTGGGCTATGAGTCAGCCCATGCCGTACGGTGGCTTCCGGTGGTATGAAGGATCAGATCCTCTGGCCGACCTCCAATTGCTTTCGGACACTGGTAATACGGGGCGTATATATGAAGTAGATGTATCGTATCCAGAAGGGCTGCATGACGAGCACAACGACTTGCCGTTCTTGCCTGTCAACGATGTACCACCGGGTTCCAAAGAGACCAAACTCATGGCCACTTTGAAACCCAAACAGCGGTACGTCGTACATTACGTTAATCTTAAACAGGCGATCGCACACGGACTGCGAGTCGATAAAGTATGTATAATTAACCTATAAACTATAAACGATGATACTAATATAAATATTTGTACTGCAGGTGCACCGCGTTTTAGAGTTTCAACAAAGTGCTTGGTTGAAACCGTACATTGAGTTGAACACTGAAATGCGGAAACAGGCGGCAAATGCTTTTGAAATATCGTTTTTCAAATTAATGAATAATGCCGTCTTTGGTAAGTGCACGCTCAATGGTAAAGTAGTTGTGAGTTATTTGATAAATATTTATATTTTATAGGGAAAACCATGGAGAACATGCGGAAACGCATCCGCATTGAACTAATCTCCAGTCCCGAACGTCTAAGCAAGCTCGTAAACCAACCAACCTTCAACGACTGTATTAAATACGGCGAAAGGTTGTGCGCCGTCATAATGGACACAAAGATTGTCAAGTTTCTCAAACCAATATACGTCGGTTTAGCAGTGCTTGACATTAGCAAGTCGCTAATGTACAAGTACTTCTACGACGTATTAAAACCTCATTATGGCGACGCAATTAGCCTGGTTTACATGGATACTGGTGAGTACAACCGTACAGTAGAAATATTTTTACAATATTTATATATTTTTAATTTTTCTCAGACTCCTTCATATACCTGCTCAGAGTCAGCGACTTCTACCAGGATTTAGCCGACAGCCCCGATTTACTGGTGTACGTGGACGCATCTAGCCTGCCCAAGGATCACCCTTGTTACTCGACCTCGAGGAAGAAGACGCCTGGTCTGTTTTCAGACGAGACCGGCGGCCTCACCCTCTTTGAGATCGCTGCACTTCGTTCAAAGTGCTATGCATTTGACATGGAAGGCAGCGAATTCATCAAGTCTAAGGGGATCCGCGGACATGTCGTCCGGAACCATCTGTCTTTGGACGATTACAAACGATGTTTGTTTGAAGACGATGGCGACGATGGTGACGATGCGTCAAAACGAGCGTTGGCCGGAGACAATGCCCGTGTAGTCATCGGAGCCGTACGTGATGGTGAGATTCCACCGACATTATCATTACCGTACACTCCGTACCGACAGAACGTGTCAATTCGTTCTTTCGAGCACGAGGTACGCACTTTACGTACAACCAAGTTGGCGCTTAACCGTTTCGACGATAAGCGCTACACGCTCGACAACAGAGTTGACACGCTGGCTTACGGTCATTATGCCATTCCATCGGAAGAAATTTAAGCAACATTAGTTTTTATAGTAATAATAAGATTGTAAAACTCTTTAAATATCCATATTGATAAATGTAAAATATATTGTATGTTAAACCGTGTAATTGAATTTTATGATAAGGTTTTTGTAAATATAAGTGTTGTATATAAATATATAGTTGTAAATATAGTTTTAAGATTTTTTAATGTAATATTTTAATGAATTGAATTGTAAATAAATGTAAGTTAGAATTGATATTATAATAAATGCTTAATTAATTAAAGTAATTACCCTCTATTTATTTCGATAATACCAGATAGATTATTTTACAATAGGTATTAATAACCTATAGTAAATACTACACGTAATTTAGAAATATTTATTTATTTTACTATAATCATTAATATACATTTTATTTATGGAAAATATATTTATTGTACGAATACAAATGAGAATATTGCAACATCATTTTTTTTCGACAATAATGTTACATATTATAATTCATCCATTGTTTTAAGCAGATTGCCTTGTATAAACTACACACTGTCGGGTTGTTCATGTGTCGGATACAACACATTTTTGTAACACAACTTAAATTGTACAGCGGTGGGCAGTCCAAATCCTCGACGTTGACTATACGTTGTCCCGGTATGTACTTTTCCACTACTCGCTTTTTCACAGCTCCTTTCACGTAAATGGTCTCGCACCGCAACAGTTTCATGATTCTCGGCAACTCATTGTATTCAACGTCACCGCAACGAGTATCCATTCCATGTAGGTATTTTTTCAACCAAAAGTTTGTTTTAGCATCGCCCTCGATACTTTTTGGATGTTTGAACATCCAATGTGCAAAAGAAGTACAGTCTATGGCAATGACAGTCAGTTCCTTGACCAAAAACGATCGGTCGGCTGCCACAATACCTTGTATATCGACAATCATTGAGGTGAGATATTGGTTTTGGGTATCCATGAATTGTGCTCTGGACCAAATCCTAACCATTTAACGAAGCACTGGTCCCCTCGTGTTCGCAACACTCGTTCGACTAAATACATGTCCGGATAACTGGTCTTGTTCAGCTCTTCGGTGTAAAACAAACCACGTATTGGATTTCCCTGATAGTCTTCTAGATAGTATGTTGGCGGTACTGTTTACCTAACCTTAACTACGGTAAACAGTTCGGTGCTCCAGTTTGGTAAGTAACCCTTATCAAACACTGATTTATGTACACTTATCCGCACCTTGTCTCCCACACGGAATTTTACCGGTAAATTATCCGGTATTTGACGCAACTTGAACCGAACCAGGTCTGGGTTTTTCACCGCTTGCACCGGTGTCATACCGATTGTTCTATGTTTACGCACGTTATTGTAGTCGTGCAACAGCGCAGACAACCGATTCACCCATTTGTACGAGCCACGTGCACTAAAGTCACGCCACATTGCGTTTTTCAGCGTGCGGTTAAAACGTTCCACTAGACACGCTTTCATCGTGGAATAAGTAAAGTAATGATTGATTGCGTATTGTGACATCAGTTTTTGAAATTGTTTATTGTAAAATTCTTTACCATTGTCCGTTTGCAAAAGCTCTGTTATTTGTTATTATGGTTTTAATCTTGTCAAGGTTAAAACCAAATTTGAACGACAACTTTTACGTGCTTGTCACAATGATCTGTTGTCTCGTACAGCTCAAGGTGAAACAGATCTACGAATATATTATGAAAATGGTGTTCCATCTGTGGCCAAATCAATTCCAAAAAACCGGGTCTGTCGAAACATAGCAATCGACAACCAAAGATTCAGCAAATTTCTCAACTTTCATAGTTCAGCCATGTACACTAGGTTTGCATGAGCATGTATATTTTTATGATAAATACCAAGTTCACTCTTAGTACTTTTATATTATATTTCAACAATTTTAAAATTAATAAGTCTTGTCCTCGTGATTTACCTACAATTAGCTATACTACGTCAAATGATAATATGTCTAGTAACGTAAATTATAACTTAACTCATAATGTTCCGTTTGGTTTTTACCAGAACTGTCGTGGTCTTAGGACTAAATTTTTTACTTTCAAGTGTAATCTTGCCAGCTTTTATTATGTAATTCTTCTTTTAACAGAAATCTGGCTTAATTCTGATATACAGTGGAANAATGTAATTCTTGTTTTAATAGAAATCTGGCTTAATTCTGATATACAGTGGAAGCCGCTTATTAGAAACACAGATAATTGATATAATCACGTTATTGAAACAAAATGTCACGAGACGGAACGGCCGTATATTAGAACATTGAAAATAAATCGGATTATTGAAACATCATATCGGTTATTTGAAACAATTAGGTTGACATATATACCAGTTATCAGGCGATAACCAATGCACTACGAGGCATCCCCATCAAACATAGAAATTGTAGTTTTATTATGTTAGTTTTAGTTGTAATAATGAAAATTTTATAGTTGGTGGTGTATATTTTCCTCTTAACTCTCCTATTCAATCCTATGATACTTATTCTAGCACAATTAAAAATCTAGTTTGTTCTTATAGCACCCATAGTTTTATTCTATATGATGACTTTAACTTACCTAATATTAATTGGTCTAATAATAATTTAGGTATTTTCTATTCAATGGCTACCGAAAACAGCCTATTCCAGGGACTTTTGCTTTTTTAAACTTTTATCAAGTTAATAATGTTTTTAATGTTTACAATTCAATGTTAGATCATATATTTACAAATAAGAAATNAAAAGAAGTTGAAAAGAGGTAAATCTGGTAGAGGAAATTTGTTTACTTTTTTAAGTCACAAGACTGTAACAAATGTAATTCAAACTATTGGCGAATTATTGTTGTCTAAGATATCTAAAGAAGTTAATGTGGCTAACAACTATTCCATTGCAATAGATACAACTATGAATGTTTCAACTCATGATCAATGTGTAATTGTTTTGCGATATTTGAAAGAGAATGTCGAAAATGAAAAATCTTCAGTAGAAGTTAAGGAAAGAGTTATAGCTTTAAAAAAAGTAATTGCTTCTTCTTCTCTTATCCTCTCCTTTTATTTTATATATTTATTCCTTTTATTTATAAGGCTTATTTGATTTGTTAAAATCAACTTTAATTTCTAAAAATATTAGATTAGATAAATGTATTGCAGACGCCTTTGATGGAGCCGCTAATATGAATGGAGAGTACAATGGAGTCCAGGCAAAACTTAAAGAACTGCTTCCAAGGCACGTTCATACATGGTGCTATGCTCACGTATTGAATCTTGTACTGCAACAAACTACTTCGAGTACGGTTGTAGTAATCTCTTTTTTCGGTCTTCTGCAAGAATTATTTGTTTTTTTTAAAGAATCTTATAAAAGGCTCGATGTTTATGAATGTCAAAGTAATTCTGGCCATCAATCACATTTGATAAATATAGGTGTAACTAGATGGAGGTCTAAAAATGATGCCCTCGTAAAAATATTTGGTCGTATTAGTATGTGGACAAATGAAGGCGAAAATGAAGAAAGAAAAAAACTGACTTATGTGTCAATTGTTTTAGCACTTTATGAAATATCTTTTTCTAATAGTTTTGCAGCTGGTGTAAGAAGTACAGCACGAAGTTTACTAAATCGACTCACGAGTTATGAAACAACATTAACAGCTATGATGTTTCTACAAATATTTAAGTTCACTACTGCTCTGTCTGATTATTTACAAACATCTAGTCTTGATTATATACAGGCCTGGCGAAAAATTGAAGTAACTATAAAGTCATTAAAAGAAAATCAAAGAGAATTTTCATCGATAAGTGCAGCTGCAAAAGAATTTTCAATATTTACATCCGAAGTTATATGGAAACACGAAACAGAAATTGATATTGAGTTAGAATTACCTCAAAAAAGAAGAATAAACATTCCACGACGTTTTGAAGATAACCCCAACATTGACCC